AGGCAGGGGTGGGGAAAGGCAGGGAGGAAGCAACTTACCCTCCCTCTTCTCCTGCCTCCTCCTGGCTGAATGAGGGCCGGAAGCGGGGCGGCCGGAAGCAGGGGGCGGGGCTTCGTCATGTGCCCCGCCCCCCGTACCTCACCCGGGGGAACTGCGATCCCCCGCGTTCCCCCCCGAAATGACCTCTGGCTACTGAGGCAAGCCAAAATGCGTGGCCTACTATGTATGAATGCTAATAAAAGTAGGTACCGGCTTTTTGGATATCTGAAATACACTATTCATTTTCTGATCAAACTGAGTGTTGCAGGAGGGTACGGTTCAGGCTGAAGAAATTGGAATGTTCGGATCAAAAAGACCAGACTCTCCCCCACCCCCCCACCCTCTGTCTAATGGCAAAATGCAAACCCACTCTCGGGAAAGCATTTTTCTCAATGCGTAATGGAAAATACCTTTTCTTCACTACTGCATAATTAAAGTACAAACCTTTGGAGTGTTTCCAAGCAGGAAACCGGTCACATTTTGTAGTATAATCCCCACAAAGCCAGGTGCTCTGGCAGGCATCTAAAAGTTTCAGGTAACCAGAGTTTCAGATAGACAGATATGCTGTGATCAACTTCGGTTTAGGTGAAGTTTCATGGTGGTGGTGGGGGGGCAACACTGGAACCAGTTTTACGTGCAAACTTTTAAATTTCACAGCATGCCTCATGTCAGTAATATTTTAGGATGGGGATCGGTGAAGGAGATCTTGTTGGCAATTGGTATAATAGCTTCCTAGCTAGGCGGCAGTTGCATGTCACATCAAATGCTGAAAGCAGCCACTGTGCTTTTACCAGCTCCGTAATACCTATCCAGGGCAATTTTATTGGGTTAAATGTGAAAAAAAAAATCAATTGCCTTGGAAGCACAGAAGCGTCATGCAGTATCCCTGAGCGTCCACGTTTCCCAGTTAAGGGAAAATACTATTAAAACAAATTACAAAGATGATATGACTCCAGTGGTAACAAGAGAAAGAAATTTTACTTACAAAACTAGAAGCACATCTTGCATGACATATTCATACAGGTACATCTAACTTATTGTGAATAGATTAACTTCAAAAAGGCTAACTTGCTCATGTAAGAGAGCGAAGAAGAGAGGTCCAATAAGATGAAACAGGACAATCAGTGGCCAAAGAGGCTCAACATCTGACTGATGAGAGGTGGGATCAACCACCCAGTGTACCTGAGTGAGAGGCTTCTCGTAACCCTTTCCCTCCCAGATCCTCTTACAGAGCCAGTTTGGTGTAGTGGTTAAGTATGCGGACTCTAATCTAGGAGAACAGGGTTTGATTCCCCGCTCCTCCACTTGCACCTGGCTGGATGACCTTGGGCAAGCCATAGTTCTGATAAGAGCTGTTCTTGAAAAAAACAGTTCTTGAAAGGGCTCTCTCAGCCCCACCTACCTCCCAGGGTGTCTGTTGTGGGGAGGGGAAGGGAAAGGAGTTTGTAAGCTGCTCTGACTCCTTTGGGTAGTGAAGGGCGGGGTATAAATCCAATCTCCTCCTCCTCCTCCTCCACATGCAAAGTTACAATCCCCAACAAATTTACCCTGGTCAAGGCACAGCAAGTATGCTTGCTCCTACTGTAAGACAGAAACTCCGTCAAGGGTGTGCTCCTCCAGCCCAATTTGAGAAAGCACTCGGCAGTCTTGTAGAGGAGAATCAGATCTTGTACTGTATTGATCAACAAAGGAGGGAGGTGCAGATCCAATAAGGTTTTGGACCCCACAGCTCTCCCTAAGGTTACAATGGGAGACATAGGGTTTTATACCCCCTATGACAGTTAGAAATAAATCACAATTATTGGTTCCATCAAAGTTTGTCACATATCCGTCATGCCATTCTGATTGGGCTCCAACCTGGGGGTTGGATTTTCCCAGCCAAAAATATACCTCCTTTAGCTAAACAATAGGCCTTCTTATCAGACTGTGAAGTTAACAAAAAGTATCTTAATGTAGCAGGTATCATGCAGTGTTCTTCATCTAACCCAAGCAAACTGACATCAGGAGCATGCACAGTTACAATTTGCAAGAACAAGCAAGGTCATCAGTTACTGCCTGTCAGCATCTGGTATTTTACCCAGAATGCCTTTAAGCAATGAACCAAAGTGAATATCTGAATAGATGTTCATGATTGATTTCAGTCACTGTGATTAGAATCATCAAAGGCACTTAACATATGCACCATGGAAGTGTTAAGTGCACCTACTAAGTTAAACGGACTGTTAGTCAGTGGCAGAGTACAAAGTGTTTCATAAGCAGTGTGTACAACACTACCACATATCATTGGCTGCTGTTGGAGGGGTTGAGGTAGTATAATGCCAGAACACAGCTACGTTGTCTTGGACAGAGTGGAAGGGGAATTTAAACATACAGGTGTTCTCAGTAACATCCATGCTTTTAGTGTTGTGTTTTGATCTTGATTTCCACACGGCAGGCCTAAGGCCTATCATGTCTGGCCAACATCCAGTGTAAATGAATGCCTGAGAACAGGCTGTGAAGCTTTTGAGGTACACACGATTCCTTGACAAGATACCTCAATGTCAAAAGTTTCCCTGTGGGTAGGTGGTTTGGGAACTAGTTACAGTTTCTGTCTCCACAGTGACAGCTTATGTTTTTGCTCTCCACAGCTACACTCCCATTTTCCAAGACTGTGTTCTGGGCCTAGCAGCGCATTCCCACAAAGCACCACACTATGTTCATTGTTGACTTAATTAGAGCTTTAAGAGGAGCTCCTGTCACGTTTTATTTTTCCCCAACTCCAGCTGTTCGGACAGATGCTCAAGGCTATCCATAAATGGGTGTTGACTTCATTGTGCCAGTCATTACTTTTAAGAACTTGTGAGTCAGTTGTTTTACGTATGTGAGACCACATTCCTGACACATGAGAAACAGGCAGTACAAACGGCACGTTGCCTTTTTTCATTCATTATCACGAGGTTATTTGTGTTTTGCTGATGTGACTCTTGACGTTACTCAGATTTGCCTCTGGTACTCTCCTTCTTGCCTTTCGGATAAAACCGAAGCTGTGCCCACGCGGCAGGACTTGTCTTCCGTGAGATAAAATCAGAAGGAAGAGGAGAGAGAGAGAAGCTGCCCAAACCCGGAGATTTCCTGTCACTTCGCCTTTGTTAGACCAGTGATCACTGTTGGGTGTGTTGAATGTATTTATGGTGATTTTCATTTTGCTTTCCTTGCATGACACTTAGGCGTAACAAGATCCCCGCACTTCCCCCTCATGCTATTTTCTCCTCAATACAAAGCTGCGATACAAAGTCAAGGGCACGGTAGTAATTGGTTCAAGGTCATACCGGCAGTGTTTAATTTGAACCTGGGTCTGACTCTCTTAACTACTTTACCACAGTGCGGCTCGGCTTTTAAGCAGGTTTTATTCTCCTTCCTTATTTTAGCTGCAATTCAGCAAAAAATGCTCACAAGTACTTCAGAGCTGGCATAGCAAAGTTACTGAGCCAGGATGTTTCAGGCTCAAGACAAGCCAGGAATATATTAGATGGCGCCAGGCAAGTTGGTGTCTTTCAGCCTCAGCACCCCCCCACCCCCACAAAGATAGGTGGCAGCAGAGAACTGAGTCCTTACCAGGCCTGAATGATACTCATGGGAAAATGGGAGAGACAGTAAGTTCCTTGGAGCATGGGTCTGCAAATTCCTGGATTATTTTCTTATGTTTTAAAAGTTTGCACTCTGTCTGGAATCTGGATATTACTGGCTTACATTACTTAATTGTGAAGCGTGTTGAAATAGTGTCTGTGAAGAAGAACAGAAATAGAAACAGTTGTTTCTTTCCAATATTCACTCCCCCCCCCCCCAAGTACAAATCTATCCCTTGGGATACAGTTTTGATTCCTGTTGTGAGCTATGACTGAACACACCTACTCTTGCTGTGATTGTTTTCCCAAACCCTTAAGGGCACAACTGGAAGCTAAAGAAGGTGCTGAGGGGGAGAATTTGGATCAGGATTATGGTTAAGTTAGCCAAATCTGGTTTGGGAAGGTTTTGGAGATTTGAGGGGCAGTGCCTGCGGAGGGACTTCAGTTTGTCTGTGATTATACCATAGAGTTTACCCGCCAAAGCTGCCATTTTCTCTGTGGGAACTGGAGATCAGTTCTAATTCCAGGAGAATTCCAGGGCCCACCTGGAGGTTGGTAAACCTAGCAATGGCAGTTGAGGTTAACACTCCCCCTGCTATTTGTTCTGGGGGGAAAGCTCTACTTTTTTCCAGCTCTAAAGTACTTTTTTCCTTGTAGGATGGCAGCATGGAGCACATGGGTAGAGAACTTGTTGATGGGCAATACATTCAGAGAAGGCAGAACTATTTCTTCCTGTACTACAGTTAATGTTTGGAACTCACTACCACAGGATGTAGAGTAGTTCTAAACAGATATATGACTGCCCACTCTGGGAAACAGGATGCTGGATTAAATGGACCTTTGATTTGATTCAGCAGAGTTCTTATACTCTAAGACAAAGCGCAGTCTGATTCTCATTTTTGTTTTAAATGCAGGAGGGTTCTGTGCATATGCAGGACAGCTCAGCATAGATTTCCCACCATTGTTGAATTTTAGCTCTAAATGTGCATAAAGAATGGCCAATTCCTCATTCTCAGTAAATCACAAACACCAAGGATTGGGCGCAGAAGCAAGAGCTTTGATTTTTTTTTTTAAATTATACAGACAGTTGAAATAACACCAATTTATTTATGCAGTAATATTTTAAAAAAATAAACTGTCAGGTAGTTATTACATACGATACAGAAAGATTAATAAAATGTCCCGATGGCGAGAGAGCATTACAGCAATAATTTAGATTAAAAAAACACCCTGAAAATAAGCACCCTCTACAACTATCCCGAAGGCCGAGTCCCAGTTTAAAGAGATGGATTTAAGCCAGCCCCGTGTGGGGTTCCAGGTGTTTAAACCCCAGTGGGAGGGCCTGCACACACAGAATTCTAATGCTGTAACTGCAGCAGCTAAAATCCTATTTCAGTGCGAAGCCAGCCACATGGAACACTATGCGAATGAGGCATTTTAGCCTGCCCAGTTACATTTCCATCCAGCATTATCCTGCAACAATATTCAAGACGAGTGGGAGCTGGGACCAAAGCTCCATCCTGCCACAGGTTCTCTAAGCATCCCATAAAAGGGTAACGCCACTACGCCACCTCACTGTTGCAAACACATTGCACAGGCCTTGCTCACTGTTGCAACAGCCCAGAAACATTACATCAGAGACCTCGCTTGTACACACACTGAAGTCACGACAACTGTGGTTCTGTTTTATGAGGAGGATACAAACTGCAGGGGAATGAGGTAGCAATAATTTAGGATCAGTGCATTTATTCAGAAAAGGGAGACCCAAAAGATCTTGGTCCTGGCCCCCTCCCCCCAGTCTAGCTCCCCCTGAGAGGATATGGACTAGTAGGCCAGACTGATCGGTAATCTTGCTACACTGTAGGCTAAAGGCTAAGAACAGCCATTTTGCTCACAGCTTCGTTTAGACAGACGGCTTCTCCCGCCCGGCTGAACCGTTGAGGGTATCGTCAGCGTCTTCCTGCTGAACAAGGTCCAGGGCCCTATGGATCTTCCGCCAAGCCCTGGCACGATGTTCCGTCCCCAGACAGGGCTCCAAGACGGCTCCCACCTCTGCAATTCTGCGCTGAAAACGACAGCGATCGCGGGCCATTTCCTCCCAGGGGCCCCGGCGAGCTGCTCGGGAAGCGAAATCCCAGACCACCAGCGTACGGACAGTGACCTCAGGAGAGAATCGAACCTAAGGATGGGGAGAGGGGACAAGAAGATTGTTAGAGGTATTTCTTAGAGGGGGACAGTTGTGAGCATGGATATATATGTGTGAACAGAACAAGAAATCCTGTGTGGCAGGTTCTCTTCCCCCACTCCTGTTCTGTGGCCAATACACTAAAAATGCACATTTCCAATGCACAATCGTTTGAGTGGGCTAAACATGCTCTGAGAGAGGCACTAGATTTCCAGGGGTGGTGTATCCCACATATTTCTGAATCAAAACACTGAGTGGTGTACCCAAGACAAAAGAGGGGTGCATGTTCATTACCAGCAGCAGCAATCCCTCTTAAAATCACCGCTCAGACGTCCTTCACCACCTTTTTGTTGGTCTTCAGCCATACTTTCAGAAACCCTCTTCCGAATTCCCAGCTTAAAGTGGAAACCACGGCCAAACTGCAGCCTGTTACTGGAGCAGTACCCAAAGCCCTCCCTCAAAACATGGGCCCCTTGCATTCAGACAGGACTTCTCTCCCACGCTGCCCTGCCCCTCCCCAGAGCGCCCAAGTCCCTCCTTAGCAAAACAAATCAAGCTCCTTTGATCTGCCTCCTACAGATAAACTCTTTCATCCTTGTCATCATTCCAGCCAAACAATGCTGTGGAGGAGGAGAAACAAGGACAGGACACCAGTTCTTAAGAATGCACCAAAAAACAGGCTGGCTGGATCAGGCTAAAGGCACCGATCCAGCATCCCACTCCAATCAGGGCATGGAGGCAACAGCCCTCCCCCTGTCACTGTTGTCCCAGTGACTGGTATTCAGAGAGGTGCTGCATCTGCACACAGAGGTTCCATTTCGCTTCCGCGGCTAAGGACCGCTGATAAACCCATCCCCCATTCACTCGTCTGAAGGTAAAGGTCCCCTTGCTCGAAAGCCAGTCGAGTTCGACTCTAGGGTTGCGGTGCTCATCTCCGCTTCAAAGCCGAAGAGCCAGCGCTGTCCGAAGACGTTTCCGTGGTCATGTGGCCGGCATGACTAAACACCCAAGGCACACGGAACGCTGTCACCTTCCCACTGAAGTGGTACCTATTTATCTACGTGCAATTTCTTGCTTTCGAACTGCTAGGTTGGCAGGAGCTGGAACTAGAGACGGGCGCTCACTCCGTCATGCGGCACACTTGGGTCTCGAACTGCTGAACTACCGACCTTCCACAGCCTGCAGTTCAGCGTCTTAACCACTTGAGCCACCGCAGCTCTTTCACTCGTCTACTGCGCATTGAAAGCCATCGAAGCTAATGCCCATCGCCCCCTTTTAGACCACCCTGACCTATGCTTTATATTTAGTGACCTTAATACTTTATAGCTCTTTCAAGTGTCTGAAGTCCTCAATAAACACAATGTTCTAAGCCTTACAACTAACTTGGAAGACAGACCACTATTATCTCCACGTCTCCTGCACATGTGCGTGCTTAAGGCCACCTGATTTGGCAGATGTGAAATTTAAGTCAGGGACTTCCTGACCCAGAACTCAGTTCTTTAAAGCTACCATGTTATGCCAAACAGCCTGATAGCCCAATCTCATCAGAGCTTGGGAGACCACCAAGGAAGAACTGGAGCTGCTCGACAGGGGCAGGCAATGGCACTCCCCACCTCTGCTCATCTCTTGCCTTGGAAACCCCCATGGTCTCAGGGTCACCATAAGTCAGTTGTGACTTGATGGCAGACCATTATTATACTATGCCATCCCCCTCACAGTGAGGTGTTGAAACTGGGGCATAGCTTACTTTATCAGAGGCACTGGAGTGTAAACTCATCAGTGCCTCATCAGTGATACACACACCTGAAAGGTAGGGGGATATTACAGAGAGGTCCCAGTTCAAACCAAGATCCACTCCAAAAAGTGATGTTCACTCAGCATGGGTGTGAGGCACTCCCCACTGTATCTTCTTATCTCATTCCATCCTGCACTCGGTTCCACATTTTGCTTATCTAACGAAAGCTAGGAGTGCCCCACGCCCATGCTGAGTGAACACATTACTTTTTGCACTGGATCTTGTTTTGAACTGGCCTCTCCTTGTAACATTCTCCCACTGCATTCTGTTGTGAATACAAATCAGTCTGATGGAATTACACTGACTCTCCCATGCATCTGATGAAGTGAGCTCAGATTCACTTCAAGGTGCCACAGCATTCTTGTTTTGCACCCAAGACAAAAACCAAAGGCCACCGTTCAGTCTAACCAGGGAGTGCACAATCCCTGTCTTATACTGATTAACCAACCTTTATCAAAAGCATTTTGTGCCTCCCCCTGCAGTGGTGGGGTTTAATGCCACTGAAACCTCCTTTTATGGCTAGAAATCCTTTATTTCCCCCTAGTTGTTCTGTGGCCCTGACCTGGATAGGCCAGGCCAGTCTGATCTCATCACATCTCAGAAACTAAGCAGGGCTGGCTAGTATTTGGATGGGAGACCACCAAGGAATACCAGAGTTTGGACGCAGAGCCGGGCAATGGCAAACCACCGCTGAACATCTCTTGTCTTGGAAACCGAACAGGAGTGCCATAAGTCAGCTGTGACTCGATAGCAACAACAACAACAACAGTTGCTCTGTGTGCCATGTGTGGACTGGCTGCGCCAACTCAGGCATGTGGAAAAGGCATTCCTTCCATGCTCCGAGGCACAGTCTTTGTTCCCCCACATTCCAGAGTCAAGACCCAATTCAATTAAAATCCTAAGTGTCCATAGGGTGAGCCAACAGTTGGGCTCTGGGGAAGGCTGGGATACTTCTGTAGCTCTTGGAGCTTGTCACTGAAAATGTACTAAGTGCTATTAAGCAAAAAAATAAAAATAAAATTCACCCCAAAACTGCTGCACTCTGAGATTATCGGCTTTTGCACAGTGGATGTACAAGTAGTTTGGATGACAGTCTCTCACAAAGGAAGCAGGGGACGGGCGAAGGAGGGGTCCTACTAGGCTCAGGAATCTCACAGCCTTACGTCATCCACTTCCTTGCTGGAAGTCTAGCAGTACACAGAGCGGGACTCGATATTCCTGGCTCTTTCTGGAATGGTGAGACTGGGGAGGGTGGGGGAAGAGGGTCTGAGACTAGAAAGGGAGGGCTGGCAGGTAGGGGGAAACCCTTAGCACGAGGAGGAAGGGGAGGGCTTTGGTCGTCAAGGGCAGCCGTTTCTCTACATCCCACAAATTCACCTTCCACTGCTTCTCCCTTAGAAACACACCCACCCTGTGAATAATTCTGTGGGGGTGCATTACAATCAGGGATGCTACCAATCTGAGCAGCCCCACTATTTTGACTTCCCCAACTTCCGTCTCTCAGACAAATGAAACCCACCAGTTTCTCTTTTCAGGCCCCTCGGTTTGCTCTTCCGTGCCATATGCAAAGAAACAAACAATTCCAGAGGGCCAGTGATGAAAGCAGGTGAAACAAAAAGGCCCACAAGGGCATCGTATGGAAATGAAATCCGGCACATGCATACATCCCTAATTGCAATGTCAGTTCCCGTGTAGTAATTTCAGGGAATTAATAACAGAGTCCCTTTCTGTGGCAGCTTCAAGGCTAAACGTTAGTGTGGGAACTGGCATTCTGGGAAGGCCTCTCAATGCTCCCCCCCCAATAAACAGCCATCCTGGTTTGACACACACTGCAACCAGTGTTCCCTCTAAGCTGAGTTAGTGTGAGCTAGCTCACAGTTTTTTAGCCTCCAGCTCACATTTTTGTCTCCGCTCAGGAAGGAGGGCTCCAGAGCAAACTAATTTATGCAGTAGCCAAATCACCTGCTCACAACTTTAATGCCAGCAGCTCACAAAGTAGTAGTTTTGCTCACAGGACTCCACAACTTAGAGGGAACATTGACTGCAACACCATAGTTCTGGGCCTACCCCATATTAGGAGACCCACCGTTTTCCTGTCTATTGTGCAGCTACTAAAAGCACGGTTGCCCTGCTGTCCACCACACTACCACAATGGGGGTTAGGGGTGAGAACACCATAGCCAGAGTGGTGGAAAAAATCATGACTAGTGTCACACTTTCCCCAACATTTGCAAATGAAGCAGGCGATTCTCATCCAATTATTGACGGTGAGGGGCAGAACCAGGGGTGTTAACCAGTGTTCCCTCTCAGCTGAGTCCGTGTGAGCTAGCTCACAGTTTTTTAGCCTCCGGCTCACACATTTTGGCCTTAGCTCAGGAAGGATGGCTCCGGAGCAAACTAATTTATCCAGTAGCCAAATCGCTCGCTCACAGCTTTAATGCCCATAGCTCAGAAAGTAGAATTTCTGCTCACAAGACTCCACAGCTTAAAAGGAACATTGGTGTTATCTACTAATTACAGAACAATAGAAAGCCACAAGCCAAATACAAGAAACTCTGGTTTTACTCCACAAACCTTTTCCCACGTGACTCACCTTCTTAACCATCTGGCTTCCCTTCTGGGAACTGAAGGATGTTTCTGTGGTGACCAAGTCACGGTTTCTTTCGGTTTCCAGCTGGCAGCTTTGGTGAGTTGGATGCTCAGGGGCAGATCCTCGGTCTTTTGGGGAAGACGGTTTGGGAGGACGACCAAACTCCTCCGGTTTAGAATCTGGCTTTCTTAAATGAAAGGAGACCGTGACTTCCTTGTGCTTCTTGGGCTCAGATGGGACGAAGGTGGACGGCTGGATGGGTTTGGAAACACAGAGTGAATGGAAGGGGTCCATGTTGGGGAAGCCGGATCCACAGAAGCTCTGAGGGAAATCCTGACGTCGAGAGACATCTTCTGCTGCAGAAGAAGAACGGTCTCCATTTTCCGAGACAGCACCATCTAAACACGACTGACCGGTCTCTTCCATCTCGTCTTCACTTGACCAGTCTTCTGAATCATCATCATCATCTTCTTCCTCTGATGGACTGTAGAACAAAGAGAGCACGAGGGGGCTCTTGAAGCCACATGAGATGGTAGGTGTCCCCAAGTTCTCCTTAGCCTTCCCATACTGTGACAGGTATTCCCCATCTTCTGGAGCATCGGATGTACTTTCCACACTTTGTTCCTCAAACATCACAAAATCCCCATTATGTTGGACACTCTCCATGCGCTCCTGGGAAAGCCAGGGACTCTCCACACTCTCCCTAGAATCCTCTTCAGGATCATTTTCAAAATCCCCAAACTCTTCATGGGAGCTACAGGAATCTTCAAAATATCCCAAACCTTCCAATGAGTCCTGGGGAAAACCCCCAGGACACTCCGCATCCTCCAGGCCCATGTCTTCGTCCGATGAGCTTTCCGAATCATTTTCAAAGTCAAAGGAGATGGAATGATGTATCAGACACAGCGCAGGAGTGTCTTCCGAATCCATCTTATCCATTTTAGCACCACTGAAAAACTGTTCTGAGCACTCTCCAAAATGTCCATCTTCAAATAAACTTTCTACAGCCTCTTGGGACCAGCTTTCAAGGCTACTCAGGATAAGATACCCTTGTGGATTAACTCTGCCGTTGAGCTTCTCTCCATCGTCCAGTTTGCTTTTATCTCTCCCAAGATCTTCTTTTCCCCCAAAAGGTCTCTTTATTTTCTCCAAAGGGGCGGCTGCAGCTAGTCTGCATGCCCCTTTGGCAATGCCCATCAGTATAGCCTTCATCAGTGCTCCAGAGAAATTCTGCCAAAGGTGGAACCATTTCTTAAGCCAGCACATGGGAAGGTTAGCCACACGTCTCAGTAGCATGGCTGTAGTGTCAAGGTTGCCAGCAGGAGGGGACCTGCTCGATTCCAGAGGTAGCCTTTTGGTCATCCTGAGTCCAAACTGATCACAGCCAACAGAGGGCCCATTTATGCTTTTTGGCTCTAAGGCCAACTCGCTGGGCAACTGAGGAGGCATTTTTGACCTGAAAATAGACAGAAGAGAATAAGCCATAAGCTTTATTAGAATGTAGGGACTCTAGGATGGGAAAGTGGTAGAGGGAAGTCTGGAAGACTGATTTGCAAAACCCTGCCGTTTGTTGCAAACTTGTTGGTGGGGCACATATTTTGCAGTGAGAAGGTCCCAGGTTCGATCCCTGCTGTCTAAAGGGAGAGAAAGACACCAGGAGGAGACAACTCAGCCTAAGAGTCTGGAGAACCGCTATCAATCAGAGCAGACCCCCAACGACTTAGCCAGACCCCAGGATCTGATATAAAGCAGTTTCATATGTTCAGGGGGAGGGGTGTCCATCACAAAAGACTGTTCCCTAATCCAAACTGGGCAAGTATGGGCCCTGGTTACTGATTAGGGAAATGGCATTCTGCACATGCTCAGGAGGTGCTCTTAAGAATTGTTGCACTCCAAGGCCGAGCCCTGCTAATGACAATAGATTTCAGCCCTATTTTAGAGAGATGTTATGCCATTTCTCTGGGGAACCTGTTGGAGCCCTGGGGCAAGTTAAGCTGTGCAGTATGTTACGCTATCTGGAAAGGTCAGGAGTCCTGGGTTCTTCAGGAGTTCAGGGCAGACTGGACTCTGGTTAAAGACACCTTGAGGAATTTCACATTACCCTTTTTAAGCCGTTTTGAAGCTGTTTTTGATCTGTCGTGGAGTAAACCGGTGTAGGGCTGCCATTTCACACATGGCTTTCCCCTACCGGTAAACAGCTGGATCTGAAGCGGTTTGCCATTTCAGACTGCACTGCTTTGTCCTGCCGGTTTTCGCCAGCGCGGGTTATCTCCGGCTTTTTTAAAAAACGTTCGCTTTAGAGCACTATAACACAACACTCCAGGCATTCCAATGGTGTTGCTATAACGCTGTTTTGCTGTTGTGTCATAGTGCTCTAAAGCGAGCGTTAAAAAAAAAAGCCGGAGATCGCCCACGCGGGCGAAAAATGGCAGGAAAAAGCGTTTCGGATCCAGGAGAAGAAACTGAAGACTACTTCGAATTGGTTTACAGGTAAAGTGGTTCAGCCCCATTTCCTGAACGGGACAGAAGCGTTTGTGTGTGAAAGTACAAATATATTCCTGTAGGAAACCGGTTCTAAAACGGTTCTGTCTGAAATGTCAGACCAGAAACTGTTTGGGAACCGTTCCTGAACCGGAATATATCGCCTGTCTGAAATTCCTCCTTATTTCTTTTGCAAAGGAAGTGAAATGGGTTAGGAAAGGCCAGTCAGATCTTTCGAGCGAGACCAGTAAGTCAGGGGAAGAGGTCAGAAGCCCGCATCCCTTGGGCCCACATCCCAGACTCCAGGAGAATTCCTTCTCTCCCCTGCTCTGCCCGACAGCTCCTCTCTCCTTCAGCTCCGAACTGTTTCCCTGGCTGAGATGTGTAGGTTGATTTAATCCTGGGCGCGCCCCAAACAAGCTCCAGCAAGTGCCCCTGGAACGCTGGCAACACCCCAGTCCGGAAGCAGAAGTGTGGGGGGGAATCATTCACATATCCACACACACAACACACAGCAACCGGCTGGCTCCCGTGCGCTGCTGTCGGGGAGAGAGGCAGAAAAGCCAGGATCCTGACCACAACAGGTTAGAGCTGGAAGGGGAGGGGGGAAGGAAGCAAGCACTGTTTGAAGTGTTAGAATTGTTAAAAATTGAAAAAATAAATTAAAAAAAAAAAAAAAAGAGAAGGGAGGGGAGACTTCTCTGGTGAACCGCCACAAGGGAAATGATGCGCGGGAACAGAATTTACAGGAGGAGCGGGACTACGGATAGCTGCTGGTTGAACACCTGGATTTTAACAGCCGGGAGACCCGGACGGATCACCCTCCCCTCTCCAAAACAAGACCGGACTCCCCGTAGAAGTGTATCATCCCAAAGTGTGGCAAACCGCCGTAGACACAGAGCTAAATTTGAGAAAACTCTTAATGGTGGGTAGACTAATATTTGGGAAAGATGGGGGCGGGGGGGGAGTGGAGAGACTTGGGAACGACACCTGGTGAACAAGGGATCTACCAGAAGGCAGAACTGCGATCCTTTTGACAAAGGGACTGCCTAAGGATGCTGGGGGTGGGGTGGGGGGAGCCGAGATGACACCGGGGGTCCTTTCTGTTTGGTCTTTCCCAGGAATTTGGCATTTGAGAGAAGTGTGGAAACATGGCAAAAGGGGGGATGAGTTGTTGTTGTTGTTGGGGGTCACGAAAGGCAGAAGAAGAGGACCGATGTAACTGGCGTGTGGGACAGGGAACTGCAAGGGGAATACAGGGTTTGGGGAGGCAGAGATAAAATTCAGACATACAAAGGAAAGATGTGCAGAATTTTTGGGGGGGGGGGGCAACGTCAAAATCAGGGTCGGTAGGTAATGGGACCTCTTCCAGATTGGATGCGTTTCACCAGATTACAGGAAAGGAGCGTTTTAGATGCCCCGGCGGGGGTTAGGATTGGGATGGATCTTTTCTAGGTTCTAGCAGAGAGCGCCAAAGATCAGCCGGCACCAGTTGGGAGTCCTGCATTAAGCAAGAACAAGGACCGAAACTGACTAGTAATTAGAAGGGTGTCAAGGTTCGGGGCGGGTGCCTGCGGGAGAGGTCTCCGGTTGTACAGCCCAGAGGGAGGGGGAGAAGGAAGCCAGAGGGTGGGGGCGCTGGCCCGGGCTCCCTGGGAGAACAAACAAGAAACCCAGGCACCGGGCGTTCCTCTTGGGCAACAAGACTACAGGGTTTTCTGGAACTGGGCGTGGGACGAGGTCAAGCCACCCGGCAATCTGGGAGGCAGGATTCCTGGGCAGGGAGGAGGTGAGACCAGAAGGAAATGGGAAGCCAGGATAGGACCTTGGAAAGGGGAGGGGGAGTGGCCAGGGGATCTAGCGGCTCGGAGGCAGCCGAAACTCCCGGGTCGGGAAAGAAGGGACCCAGCCAGGGCAGCGGGGCTAGAGCCCCTCTTCTTCACCTTCCGCCGCTCCTTACCTCGGGGGTCTTATCCAGTGATCAGCTCGCTCCAGCAAACAGCTCCGGGGCTGGCGCAGGGAACCAAGCGGAAGGCGGCCTTGGCAAAGCTCCGAGGGTTGGTGGCGGCGGCGCGGTCCATGTCTCCCTATCGATACGGCGGCCGCTTCTTGGAGTGTAGAGATTAGAATGGCATGTTTTGATGGCCGCCTGCTGCGTCACTCTGGCTATATAGCCGGCGTTCGGAGACTGTGCGTCACGGGGCGGTGACGTAATGGGCGAAGGGCGTAGCCTGGGCGAGGGACGTGAAAGATCGAGAGGGCTCGAAAGGGGGGGGGGGGAAACCGCCTGGAAACAGAAAACGGCGCGTCACGTGACGCGTCTGGGAACTGTTGGGGGCGGGGGGAACCCGAGCTAGTAATTTTCCAGTTCCACATTTGAATCCTCAAGGGGGGTAGAGTCCCGAATAGCGGAACTGGAAATTACTTATTCGTGAAATTCTTTCATTTCCCCCATCGTCAAGTGATAACGCACATGCATACAGCCCCTTCGTTATTATTATTTATTGCATCAAAAAAGGAAATCCCATAAGTCAACCCAGGCCAAGATAAAACGATCGAAATGGCGAAACAGAAAGCAACTTTCCCCAGATCTTTTTGTATTTCAAGTGCTTTAAAGAAACCATTTAGGATATTTTTATCCTTTTCTGATTGCAGGAAGTTCTTATTCCACTCCTTGCTCCAAAGAGCTCATGCCATGGGTGTCCTCTCCATTTGGGTTGCCAGGTGTGGGCTGGGGAATACCTGGAAATTTGGAGGGTAGAGCCTGGGGCCGGGGGGCGGGGAGGAGAGGGACCTCCACAGAGTATAATACCATAGAGTCCTTCCTCCAAAGCAGCCATTTTCTCTAGGGGAGCTGATCTTGGTCTTCTGGAGAGCAATTGTAATACCAGATCTCCAGGTGCCAGCTGGAGGTTGGCATCCCTACTCACAACAGCCCTGTGAGGTAGGTTCAGCTAGGAGAGAGAAAGGGAGAGAGTACTCAGTCCAAGGTCACCTAGTGAATTTCATAGGAAGCGGTAATATGAACCCTGGTCTCCCTGGAAGTAGTGTAAAGGTGTTTCCGGATGATTTCAGGAATAAGGAACTGCGAATAAGGAACCAACTTCAGCATCCTAACTCTAAGGGCAATACCGTACTGGATCTCACAGAAAGTTTCTCACTTAAGAGATTATTTTCGTCCACAAAATAAGCATTTAAAAGTCGGGTCTCCAGCTTCTGGGTGGGGAAAGACCTGGAGATTTGGGGGGGCGGGTGGAGCCTGGGGAGGGACCTCAGCAGGGTATAGTGCCACAGAGTCCACCCTCCAAGGCAGCCATTTTCTCCAAGAGAACAGATTTCTGTCATCTGAAGATAAATGGCCGGAACTCTCCAGGCCTCACTGGGAGGTTGGCAACCTTATTTTTAAATGCACACCGTTGGTGTAAACAAAAAAGCCTGCCAATAGCAGTAAAAATACACACATGCCAGGAGAAGGGGCCAACCCAGCTTCAGGAGGCACAAAAAAATCCATCACCTGAGAGCAGCAATCCTGGAGGCCCTATTCTAACCTGCCGCCCTAATCTAACGTAACCCTGGACTGGGTTTAGCTCCTCAACTCAGGTTTTGGGGCTCATTAGCAGGGAGTGTCTTGACTGCAATTTCAGGGCCGCCAGGCAGCCCACACACACGGTGGCGGCTGCCGCTTCTCTGCCTGCCTACCTGCCTGCTTGTGGTAACTATTGCACTCATGTGTTTGAAATGGGAGGCAGTCATCCGTCTGGCACTGTGGCAGCTCAGCTACATTTTATGTCTAGCACACGTGCGTATGCTATTAGCTCATCTCGTAAAAGCCACATGGTGGTCACTCCACAGGTGCACAGATGCCATGTGATGCCATTCTCCATGACCTGTACAAATTCCATTGTTGTTGTTAGTTACTGTTTGGTGTGACGTCACCAGGCCCCACCACCCTATGATGGTCTTGGGTTCGGGGTGTTGAGGCCACTGTTCCCTCTAAGCTGAGTTAGTGTGAGCTAAAGGTAAAGGTTCCCTTGCTCGAAAGCTGGTCAAATCCGACTCTAGGGTTGCGGCGCTCATCTCCGTTTCAAAGCCGAAGAGCCAGCGCTGTCCGAAGACGTTTCCGTGGTCATGTGGCCGGCATGACTAAACACCCAAGGCGCACGGAACGCAGTGTGAGCTAGCTCACTGTTTTTTAGCCTTCAGCTCACACATTTTTATCTTATCTCAGGAGGGACGGCTCCAGAGCAAACTAATTTAGGCAGCAGCCAAATTACTTGCTCACAACTTTATTGCCAGTAGCTCACAAAGTAGAATTTTTTGCTCACGGGACTCCACAGCTTAGAGGGAACATTGGCTGAGGCCCTGGCAACCCTTTTATTTAGGCCTCGCGTCACAGTTGAAGGCCGTCTGGGATGGGCACACTTGCCAGTTCCAAGTTGGGAAATTCCTGGAGATTGGAGGGTAGCGCTTGGGGAGGGCAGGAACCTCAGGGGGGGGGGTATAAGGCCAGTGAATCCACCGTCCAAAGCAGCTGTTTTTCTCCAGGGGAGCTGATCTTTGGCTGCGATCATACGCACAATTAGACCCGACATAGATGCTAATGCTGGGCGGATTTAAAGGGCGCAATCAGACAACAACATCTGGGAAGCGCCCCACAGCCTTCGGCAACCCGTTCTGCTCCGCCGCCGAAGCGGAGTTAAAAGACACCGGGGGAAATCCGGTAGTTAACGGGTTGCGACGGGCCATGGAAAGACTTTCCCGTGTCTGATCACTCCAGCGCGCTCTCATGGCGTCGGGATGGTCTGATCAGGCCCTCCTGACTCTGTGCCATTGTCCCCCCCCTTTGCAGTATGCGCATCATCGCAAACTCCATAGGGTGCCCTCGGTGCGGAGGTGCGATTCATCGATCCCTCGGTTAAGCACATGGGGGGGGGGAAATGGCACACAAACCCCCCCCACAACCCCCCCCAACTCACCTGCAATTGCGTCTGATCACGCACCGACGGACTGCGCCCACCGCTTCAAAGGGAGGTGTGATCGTGCAACTGCAGGTCAGATTCCTCCAGAGGAAATAGCCTCGCTTCCCCCCATTTTTTCCGGCACGTGTGATCGCAACCTTAGTAGTCTGGACAGGGGTCGCTTCGTAGAAAAAGAGCTAGGGGAACTCATTAGCATAACTCACTAGCATATGCCACACCCCCTGACATCACCGGAAGTGTGTCATAAGGCCACACCCCCTGACATCACCGGAAGTGTGTCATAAGGCCACACACCCCCAACGGTCCCGGCCGCCGCCACCAGCCTTGCAGCTCCACTGCCGAGCCCAACTTACCCTCCCTCTTCTCCTGCCTCCTCCTGGCTGAATGAGGGCCGGGAGTGGGGCGGCCGGAAGCGGTGGGTGGGACTTCGTCATGTGCCCCGCCCCCGTACCTCACCTGGGGGAACTACGATCCCCCCCGAAATGACCTCTGAGTCTGGAGATGATTTGTAATTCTGGGAGATATCCAGGCCCCACCTGGAGGCTGGCAACCATATGATGAGTGGGTAACATTGCCGGTTTCTTTCACACACCAAGGCTGCAGTTTAACAGGCTGAAATCCAATGAGTGAAGCTTTTTCTGGCACGGGGATGCAATGTTGGGGAGGAGCTATGCTTGGCAAACAGCTTTTAAAGGCATATCAGCCTTCCCAGAAAAAAAGTTGATAACTTCTATTCACAGTTTTATTTATTAGACTTTTATTCCACCCATCTTTTTTTTTTCCCCCTCTCCATTTTATCTTCTTAACAGTTTTGTGGGGTCATTTAGCCAGAAAGAAAGAGAAAGTGTCATTGCGCTAAGATCTCCCTGTGAAATTCATGGCTGAGTGCAGATTTGAATGCAAGACTTCCCAGTCTTAGCTTGGCACTCTACCTAGAATACCACACTGGCTCGGTGGAGACTTTGGTCAAACAACCGATGCCTCCCTGCCTTCCATTGCATATTTATGGAGGGATGGGGATTTTGTTCTTTGTTAGATTAAGATGTGGAAGCTGTATTGATCTGTTAAAAAGAAAAATACCCAGCAGTATAAACACCTTTTTATCAGCAACAGTAATGAGTGCAAGATTTTGAGTTCCTCAGAATTTTTTATCTGGCTGAATTTTCAATACAGTGGAAGCGGGAGGGGGGAATGTTTAAGGGCAAAATGGAATAATCCAGAATATAGAATGTATAGCTTTTGTGAAAAAATTTAAAAAATAAAAATAAAAAACGTCCTTTTTGAAACAGATCCTATATGGAGATGTTGGACTCTTTCATAATGCCTTGAAATGTCTTTTTCTCCTCTGTCCCCTTCCCCTTCTGTTTCCCTCCCCGCGTTTCTGTTCAACATTCAACCCGATGAAGAATTCTGGTGAAACTGCATTGCCCTTATTACTTCCTTGATCCTATTGAAAAGGCATTATGCCACCGTTGCTTTCTTGGATTATTCTTTGTGAGTCTGGAACAGGGAAGGACAGCAGTTCAGCACACAGAATACAAGGCTGCAATCTCTTTATTTATTATTTTGATTTATAGCCTACCCTCCCCGCAAGCGGGCTCAGGGTGGCTCACAAATAGGGCACATGCCAATACATAAAACAGGTTTAAAACAACTTAAAAACAGTCATTTACAATATTACAAAGTGCTCTAGATGTTTCAAATCAGTCTTCAATAAAAAGATGGCATCTTGAAGATGTAGGGTTGCCAAGTGTACCTTAACTGGGAGCGGGGGGCTCCCGGCCGGCGTCTTGTGTGTGTGTGTGCGCGCAAAGCACGCGCGCACCGCACGCACGGCACCCAGAAGTGACGGGAGGACACCAGGCACGCTGGGGGTGGGGCCACGGCCATACAAGGGAAAACCATAGAGTTTTCCCTTGTATGGCCGTGGCCCCGCCCCCAGAGTGCCCGGCGTGCCCACGTCACTTCCTGGTGACGCGCATGCAGGGGTGGGGTTCCCCCTGGGGCCCGATTCTGCGGCGTCGGAAATCAGGCCTCCAAAGCGGGGGTTTACCTGCCACCCGCCCCCACTTGGCAGCCCTATGAAGATGGTACTCCCAGTTCAGTGGTGTCAGCTCCACACAGTGCTGTCGTTCACTCCTCACAGGGCCAGTTGGTAATGATAGTAAAGGTA